GCAGCACTGGCTTCTGCTTTCCTGGTCTCTGCTGGAACGGTGGTTCTGTAAGTCTATTTCTCCATTAAAGCTATATATATATATTTACAATCTGTCTGCATTCGTTTACGCCGTTACATAGAACAGTGCCAGTGTTCTAACATGGGGGACTAGTGCATTTCATATGCTCAGGAAATAGATACAAACGTCTTTTTCAATCAACCAAATTCATCTACAACAGTATCCAGTGGAGTAACTTCCTAATCTCCCAACTCACAGCCATTCTTCCTCCCCTCTGTTTCTACAGCCTTCTTTTCAGCTAAGAGTCCCGGCACATACCCTCATGTCAATTAGTCTCTTAGATGTTAACTCCTTCATCCAAACACTGTGTACATTGTCTTTTGAATTCCCACAGACTTTACATAGTGAGTATCTATTGAGTGTTTTTTTCCCCTTTGGTTTTTCAAGACAGGTTTTTTTTGTGTGTGTGTGTAGCCCTGGCTGTCCTGGAACTCACTCTGATGTAGGCTAGCATCGAACTCACAGAGATCTGCCTCCCTCTGCCTCCTGAGTGCTGAGATTAAAGGTGTGTGTCGCCACTGCCCAGGTAATAGTTGTTTTCTAATTGGAGAATTTACAAGATAGTGTATTAATGGTATGCTTGTGCACATTGGCGACTTCAAACTACAACAACAAATTCAAAATATGTAATCTGGACACAATTTTTTATTTTATTTTGCTTTCATTTTAATTTTTTATTCTATTGTATGTGTGTGGGCGCTTTGCCTGCATATACGTCTGTACACCACTGGTATGTCTATTGCTCTTGGAAGCTAGATTAGGACATGGATCCTCTGGAGGTGAAGTTACAGGTCGTTGTGAGCTGCCATGTGGATGCTGAGAACTGAATCAGGGTCTTCTGAAAGAGCAGCAAGTGCTCTTAATCACTGAGCATCTATCCAGCCTACTACATTTTAGAAGTGCATCATAATTCTGAATGATAAACTTCTCAGAAAGGAAGAAATTACTATAGACTTTAAGATGTTCTGGTTTGTTCTCACAAGGAACCTGGTTTTAAGGCTTTCCCCTGTTTGGTAAATGCTATATAATACTAAGAGCCTGAAGATGTGTGCAGCACAGCTCTGGACTCTGGTGACACTGTAAATCCTCTCAGCAGGACATGGTGTGTGTTCACATTGGCTAACAAACATGTTTCATGAGAGGGCAATTTCAAATAAGAAGAAAATTTTATGGGCACTTTGCTGTGAAGAGTATTTCTTTGCACATTTTATACACATTGTCTTCTGAATTATAGAAATACCACACAAAATACGTTATCCGTAGTTATGAACTGAAAAGCTCAGTAATAGAGATAACATAAATCACTAAGGGGCTCACAGCTGGTGCTCTAATTTGAACAAGAAAAGCTCCCCACAGGCGCATTTGCCCAAGTCTCAGGCTCCTGCTGGTGAGTGCTGTCTTAGAAGATTCTGGAAGCTTAAGGAGGTGGGGCCAAGTAAGAGGCGGTAGATCCCAGGGAGTGTACCTTCCAGGTAACACCTGTTTCTTGCTCCTTCCCCACATTTGCTTCCTGTCTACCATGATGTGAAGAGACAGCATCTCCCACTGCTACCATGATCCTTCCTAGTCCACGGGACCAAGGAAGTATGGACTCAACCCACGGACACTGAGACAAAATCATTTTTCTGGCTTTTAGTCATTATATCAGATGTTGATCACTGCTGTGCAAAAATAGCAAACATAGCTCTTAAATAGCCAAGTCTAACTCCAACTCATGCATTCTGGTTCATTTTGTTTTTCATTTAAGTACATTTACAAACTAGAAATGGTAACTAAGAAGAAATTAATGTGCCTCATCCCACAAAATGTGTATGAATAAATTGTTATTTTTACTTGGGAAGCTGAGGCAGGAGGATTGTGAGATGGAGTTTAGTCCCAAATAAATACTGAGATCTTATCTAGAAAAAAAGAACAATAAAATAAAACAAAACAAAGCACAAAAAAACTATTTATCACCCACATCTGAAATCTATGTAGTTTTTTTTAAAGATTATGAGATAGTTCCAGGTTCTCTTTTTTGATGATTAAAAAAAGAAAGGTAGAGAGGCTCAGGCTCAGTGGCACACACCTTTAATGCCAGGACTCAGGGGGCAGAGGTAGGCAAATTCTTGAGCTCGAGGTCAGCCTGGACTACACAGTGAGTTCTAGCACAGCCTATGTAGAGAGACCTTGTCTCAAAAAAAAAACAAAACAAAACCCAGAGGGGAAAAAGTGGAGAGATGGAAAAAATAGAGAAACACAAAATAATAGTTTTAATTTGCACTTTCTTTATGCTTAAGTACATGGGAAAATGAAACGCAGCATGTGCCTGCATTTCCTGCAGAGGCAGGAAGAAGGTCACAAATTTGAGGTTAGTCTGATATATGTCTCAGCAAAGTCAGAATCTCAAAGAAGCCAAGGAAAAAAAGAAGGAGGAGGAGGAGGAGGAGGAGGAGGAGGAGGAGGAGGAGGAGGAGGAGGAGGAAGAGGAGGAGGAGGAGGAGAAGGAGGAGGAGGAGGATGCTAAATACTTCTTCAACTATGTGTTGGCTGTTTGGAGGCTCCAGTTACCTTGTGACCATCACTCCTGTGCCAGGGGCCTGAGGCTTCCTCACTAGTGACTGAAAAGAAGCTGCAGAGAGCACTTTGGGTGGCTTCCTCTATATCTTGGGGACTCACAGCTTCAACCACAAGACAGGACCATTGGGGATGTTATCAATGATGCCATGAGGGGCAGCTCCTTCCTGCACTCCAGTCTCCAGGGTCTATCTAGTCCCTAAGAACAGGCATGTCTCACTCCAGTTTACAAGACAGGACCTCATTATCAATGATGCCACAAGGGGTAACTTCTTCCTGCACCCCAGTTGCCAGGGTCTATCTAGTCCCCAGGAACAGGCAAGTCTCGCTCCAGTTTCTTTCATTTGCTGTGTCTACAGGTACATGGGCTGACACAGGTAGAAAGCAAGCCTGCTCAGCACTAGACCCTTCCAGTTGTGGCAGGCACTAGAGCACGGAGAAGGCCAGACTTTTGCTGATGTAGTGTTATTAGCGGTATAATGGACAATGATGTCACGAGGCAGACAAGTTCTACTAACAACAGCATCCCAAAGAAGAATGCTGAATAGAAGCTTGAGGTAGATATTTCCCACTGTGGAGGTCCTAGAGAGTGGGGTGTCCCGCCTTGTGGCTGCTCACTCACCTCTTAAGTCCCCTAAAGGTAAATATTTCAGTCCACTTAAGAACTCCCCTTTTCAGGCCTTGGGAGACAGCTCAGCACTTAAGGTGCTGGCCACCAAAACTGAATGACTGAGTTCAATCTCTAGGATCCTCATGATAGAAAGAGAGTTGACACTTGCAAGTTGTCCTCTGACCTCCCGGCATGCACTGGGCATATGTATACACACACAAATACACAAGTATAAGTAAAAGAAAAGAACTAGAAATCAGCTTTATAAAAACAGGTCTAAGGATGCTGGTTTCTCTGAGACATGAACGCTTCCCAATGACTAAAGGTATAAGATACGGATTGGACAAACACACGGGAGATGTTACTGCGAGAGCAGAAACACTGGGTATCCAACAGCACCGGATGACTTTGCAACTTCATCACTTAGGGGTTTGGACCTCCCACCCACCTCCCTGCTGGCTCTCTCTATCCTAACTCTCCCAGAGGCTAATCTATAGTGTCTGCTCAATCTCTGCCTTATTTCCGTCAATCTGCAACATTGAATATCCTTTTAAATTCCGTGTCATTTTTTGCCTAAAGCAGATAGAATCCACCTCACTTATTCAAATTTAGTACCTTTGAATCATGTAATTCATAAAAATAAATGGGCTTATAAGAAAAATAGGGACTCCATATGATTTAATACACTTGATACTCCTTGAATGTACTCTCACTTCTGAAATACACACAGATTAAGCATAAATTCACGAAGAATTCAGTCATTGAGATAATAAACCACGCTGTCACAGAATTTGGGTTTCCTTCACATCCATGGGAAATTGTAACAAGCAAAAGTCATTGTGTGACATAATTTGAACCAAATTAGTTTCCCCAGAACTGGCGATAGGAACAATAGAATTAGATCTACAGATGGAAGGGTGATGGTTAAATATATGTTTTTACAACACCTATAATTAATGGAGAGATCTCCTAACCTCTGTACATGTAGAGACACCCATAAAGAGAATGCAAGCCTTGCTGGCAGAATCAGTGGGAACTGAAAATATTCTAAATGCTGGTAGTGGAGTGTATAAGGCGGTGGTGATATATGTATTCAGCTTTGTATAAATCTAGTTGGCTTGCAGTAAAGCAAACAAAAACGACACAAACCATATTCTAGGATTTAACAATTTTCCTATTATATTGTAAAAACTTAGGAGATTCTTATTAATCATAAATAAAATAGTATGCAAGCAACTGTCTAACAGATGAAAACATCGTGTCAGGACAACCTACAAATTGCTTGATATCCTCTTGGGACAGGAGTAGGCAGTCCCTACCTAAGAGGTAAAATGAAGATTGAGGAAAGAAAAGTCCTGTGTCCTGGTGAGATGCCTCCTAAACACATCTCACAACTGCCAGGACATTCTGAGGTCCGAGGGAGAGACTGAGCACAGGAGGCATCCTTATTCCTTAGCTAATCTGGGGTTCTTCTGGTATATCCATAACCCTTGGCTCCATGTTGTTTTGTTTAAAAATCTCAAGACCAACAGCATTCAGGGTCACTGAAGGAGCATCAGGGGACAGGGAGGATGCATGTGAAGTCTAAAATGCAGGTGTCCTGTAGGTGTTAATTTTCAATATGGGTGTATTTCTTTTTTTTTGAGTCAGTATGCGATTTTATGATTTTTATTGAGCTCTACATTTTTCTCTTCTCCCCTCCCTGCTTCTCCCCTCACCTCCAACCCTCCCCCAAGGTCCCCATGTTCTTTATGTTCAGTTGGAATGTATTTACCCGCTGCTAGAGTTTGTCCTGCTCCCGAAGCACTGGTTACACAGCCCATGAAATTGCAGAGAGATAAAGATGTAGATCCTATAAGGTCTGAGTCCCTTTATGATGTAAGACGGGTTTTGGGACTTGGCAGAATACAACAGCAAACTGACAATAACAATCATACAATAATCAATACACAACCTATAATCTTGGCATTACAAATTCCATGAATTCAGATAGAGGGAATTATTGCCAACTCCTATAAGGAAAGTGATTTCCAAAAAAGTCTCACAAGCCAGGGTTTAATTGATAATTGTACAATCACACTGTTTTATGAGGTAATAATGCAGTTCCTGAGTGGATAAATGAGAAAACAGAGTTATGGCCTCATAAAGCAGCATGGATGTATGGTTATTGTCACCAATGGTAGAGATAAAGATGGCGACATTGACATAGTTATTGTGAAAAAGTCCAAACAAAGCCAACAGTAGCACAGGGTGGTGATGCCACATGCCACCTGATGGCAGAACACAGGACAATGGCATAGTGCTAAGTCAGCCTACCATTTGCTTAAAACCTCCATGGAAATAAAGGGGGAAAGGATGGATGCCAAGTGAATATTTCCTTAGGTCAAATCTCACTTCCTTTCCTATTCAAATAAACATAAATTAGACTGATAGCTATATTTTCTCGAAATGTTGTCATCATCTTATATTTTCAAATGAAAAGAGAATTTGAGCAAAAGATACTGGGAGGAACACTGTAAACAATTAAACAGGCAGCGAGTATCCACCCTACCATCATGAGAAGAACCAATAACAAACAACCATGAAAACTTGCTCAGATGGAGGATGTAAGTTATATTTAGGGAGAAATGCACACAGACAGAATTATGAACATGAAATGATTCTTCTTATGGCTACTGACATGGACTCACTGGGCTACATATGGATGCTTGGGTCAGCCAGAGACCAGACTGCGTATGCAGCTGTGGCCCCTTAAAATCACAAGATCTGAAAGTTTATACTACTTAGGCATGCCATAGCTACTTAATGTCATGAGGCAAACAGTCAAATGTTTGTGGTAGTGGCAATATAAATCAATGGTACCACCAAGGCTATAAAACTATAGGACACACAGCTCTGTACAGTGTGGAAGACTTGGTAATGTTAAAAATGAGTATGGTGTGGGTTGATGTATGTGCTATACTATATGTTTTATCATTGAGGTATGATATGTATACTTATAAAAAGGTTACAGTCAAAGATTGCTGAGTTACGTCAGTGGCAGCCCTGTGGCTTGTGTTTGCCATGCTTCTTGAGTCTATCAAGAGTTTATAATTAATGACCTAGTTCTTAGGTTTAACATTCATATAAAATGATACTTCACAAACAGACACAGGTTCAGATGCTTACAGAGTTTTGTGACATTCCAAATAGTTCTTAGGGATTTTCCCTACAGGAGTACAACAAAGTACTAGGGTTGTTTACCTAGGTATTGACTTCAAAATTATATTAGCCTAAGAATAAAAGAATAAATAAAATAAAGGGTGAGTCAAAACACAATGTTAAATATGGAATATAAGGATCAAAGACCAAACACCAGTCTTATTATAAATTTGCCTAAACAGCTACCTTATAGCAGATTTATAAGCCATCTAAACTGAAAAGCATGTTATTATATCAGATGTTATTTTATCATGAGATAGTTGAAGAAGTCACATATGTAGATAGACGGGAAAGACAATAAGGAACCATAAATTTATTGTTGACTTTTTGTCAAGCCCCAAAATAGATTTCTCTGTTTTGTATGTATATTTTGTCTACTAAAACAGCTCAGAATAAGGCAAAATTCACAGTGCCATAAAGAGGGTCTCCCTGCAAATGCAAGTCTCCCCAGAACTTTTAAAATGAAGTATTTGTGGAGGAAATGAGTTAAAACATCTTGTTTTTAGGACTAGTTTTCAGCCTGACAGCTGGCACCTTTCTAGGAGAAATGAAAGCCACCCACAGACAGAGGGAGTAGAGGTCCAGCAAACCAACGAAGCTGAAATGAGAAATATGATGTCACCAAGCATCCAGAGGAACTGGTAAGGACATCCTCTCAGGTACACGGAAGGAGCAAGGCCCTCCCAGCAGCTCAGTTTTAGTCCTCTGAACTCTAGAACTTGAGAGAATCAATGGATGGCCTAACAACTCATTCAGTTTATGGGGATCTTGAAGACTGTGTGTAAACAAATAGTGCTGAGGTTGAAAAGCCTGGGATCTCTACCCTTTTGGGGCAACTTTAGAGAATTCTGATTCTCAATGTTTGGGATGTCAGGTGAGAGATTTTCATAATGGTCTCATACTTCTTACTCTCAACGATGACAGAGTTCCCTATACTGTCTGCTGTGCCTGAGTAACCCTCCCCCATATATCCCGATCTCAAGTCTTCTACCATGGCTGGTGCCCTCTGGAGAAACAGAACTATGACAATCATAAGAGGCCTTCAATTCCTAGAGAGAGATGTCAACGTATTAAAGTGGTATCCTGCAACTGGAGCACCCTAGCTGGCGGACAATGAGGGTTCAGGGAGGTGAACTCATGGCAGACCACAACTTTGCTATTGTGGAACAATTCTTAAACTTACTTTAGTGGTGAACTAAGTCATCATTAAGACAAGTTTAGAGAAAGTATTAATTTTTAGGACTGTGTACTTAGGTGGCTATTGTCAATGTCATCTATGAACTACACAAAGATAATCTTAGGGTTATCATCATTTTAAGACAAACTATCCGATCCTTCTCGAAAGTATTGTTTCTACGTGTCAACAGAATCATGTGAACTGGATCAGATAAGCAGGGAACAAGTGTATGGAGGTCTTAGTAAGATGTGTGTTTCAGAGAGTAGGAGATTAACTTTAAAGAATTAAGGGATTTGAAGCACCAGCTGGGGTTTTAGGAGGCCGAGTTGGATGTGACATCTAGGGCATCCATCCAGTCCAAAGTAGAAGAAAAATAACTATATCTTACATCTGTAGAAGTGTTTTATCTTGCTCCCTTCAGCAGGAAGCTCAATGTCTGGTGAAGAAATTTCCATCTGAAGGGGAATAGTTCTCATGTGGGCACTCTCTGACCAGCATGCCAACATGAAATTCTGCTGCTTGACCTGTCCCAGAGTGGGAAGTAGTTTAGCCGTGGGCTCAGGCTGTGGTGTTGGCTGATGAACGCTTTGAGACATTACTAGATCCATGGGCTCTGGGAAGCATAATAGTGGGGAAATATGGTGAAGTATTTATGGAAAGAGAGCCCCAAGGCAGACAATATGCAGAGAAAAGGCACGTTAAAGTGACAGGAATTCTAGAGATCCTAAACTATCTGCTTAACACCCTCAAGAAGCTATTGGACTCTCATCATACCAGCACAGCAGGCAGAACATCGGATGATTGCATAGCTAGTGTTACTTCTCATTGGTTGGATTTTTTTTTCAGATATGTCATCTTAAAATAAAGTCAGACAGACTCAACCAAAATGCATCCTATGATGGAAATGGAAATCTAAGACTTGAGCATAGCCTAAAGAGTGTCATGCCGACCTTGGACGCTCTCTCTACACCATAAAGAAAGGAGAAGACCAGAGCTGACTACACATGTAGGCTGTCTTAGTTACAATAATAGTACAATAATAGTTACAAGGATAGGCTCAGAGGCTGCTGCTACATAGTCTCACCATGGTGGGTCTCAGAGACAGCAGCAAATACAAACATTCTCAGAAGACAGACCTGCAGGCATTGCATTTGCTTACCTGCTATGTGTGAAATAGAAGTATCTCAAGGTAAAGACACTCTGGTCATGGACATGAAACAAGATCAGAAAGTCAGAGTATGGGAAATCTGGGAAACATGATGTTCACAGATTGGACAAGAAGTGTGGAGATCTTATTATCTCATGTTGGTGTTCATCAAAGACTATGTCCCTCGGAAGTAGAAGTGAATGCCAAATACAGGATGACACATGCCGTTGACCCCATAGCCTCTCTCTGTACACTACCATGCCTATAAAACAGGCTATAAAGGTAAAGTTCCTCATCTCTACACTAGAGAGAATGATACCCTCTCATTTTCTAGAAATTTCCATAGCCAGTGAGCACTAGCGTAGACATTACTTGAAGACAGGATGTGAACATGCATCCAAAGCCTTGAAAATTCATTGTAATAACAGCATTTATATGAATTATATCAATATATAAAACTTGAGGCAGGTCTCATGTAATCTGAGCAAGCCCGAAATACACTAGTTAGTTGAGGAATGTCCTCGAACCTCATATCTTGCTGCCTCTGCCTTGAGGGTGGTTGGATTATACACTTGGGCTACTGTGTTAGTTTTATGTAGCACTAGGAATCAAGCCCAGGGCCTAACACAGGCTAGGCAAGCACTTGACCAACAGGGCCACATTTGTCAGCCCTACAGCCATCATTTCTGTTATATTGTAATAAATTTGGTTCTTCATCACTTTTCCCAAGGAAATGAAGACATACCCAAAATGTGTATATGCGATGGTCTTCTCAATGTCATTATGACATCTAAATGAATACAGTAGAAATCCTGACAGATTGTGGACTGGCTAACTGCAGTACTATGTGTTCAAATAATATTTTCAGACTGCCTTACATAGTACAAAGCTATAAAAGGACTTCTTGGAAAATATTTTAGACTAAGTGGAAACAGCAGGTCTTACGAAATAAAATTGCAACTACTTTAGTTCAGCACATTAGATAAATAAGCGATAAGCATAGATAGACGAAGGACCTTGAAGAGCTGATGTTATGCTAATGAACATGGCCCATTTGATAAACACATTTGGAGAGAGATTCTCCTACAGAAATCTATAAATTCAGAAAACATCAAATGAAGCCATAACTTAATTCAGGAAAGAAATGAGCTGAAAATAAAAATACCTTTGAACACATCGTCACTGGAACATCTTGTTGGGGGGACTGTTCAGAAACCATGTTGATGTTATACCCTAGAATTTCTCCTTTTGTAAAGCCTTCTGCTGGCTTCTCCCAGGAGACACTGAGTGTGATGAGCGAGGGGAGACTGAAGGGGGAGCATGAACAGAGGTGCTAGCAAAGACAAAAACATCATACGCATAAATGAAATCATAAACGATTTCAGACTTAGCTATTGTTTTTTTCAAAACCCTATAATGTGTAAAAAAGTTCCATTTTTAAAAATCTAAAAAATGTACATATATATATATTTTACATATTCACGTTAAATTGTCATTCAGAGTGATGTTTACTACTTTATCAGGTAAGGTATCTTTCATTTACAAAATAGAATTCAGAATGGTAGGATGAATGGGTAAGAGCAATTGATTCACAGCATAAGGACCCGAGTTCAGAAAGCTGGTTATGACCTCAAATGCATCTGTAATCCTATTGCCATCTCGGGCAGAGTCAGAAGGCTCACTGGGGATGGTTAGTCACCAGTCTGGCTGCAGGTTCAGTGAAAGAACTTGTCGCAAGGGAACAAAGTGGAGAGTGATAGAACAGATACTGGATGGCTTCTCTAGACTCGGCATGCATGCAGACATATGTTCTTTATCTCTCTTTCTCTCTCTATGTTCCTCTGTATCTCCGCCCCCCCCCCCCACACACACACAGGGAAACTCGGAAACTTCTGTTTTCATGAAAATAGGCGGTGAATAATTTGATAAGAAATTTGGATAATACAGAAAGAGAACATGTCACAGTCCCCAAAGCAGACGATGGATGACAACATACTAGATTTCTTATGGAAAGCCATGTTTAACTAAACCGAGTCAAACTAATGAGGCTGGAGAAAATCACTCTCCACTAAAAGGTCCATCTAAGATGGACTCAATGAGCCCAATGAAACTCATAGCTTTGGGTCAGTCCTTCCTGAAGTGTGCAAGGCACACAGACGCCACACACTTACTCCTACCATCCTTGCCGTCTTTGTATAGAGTTTAAATGAGCTGCCAAAGGTGTGTTATCAAAGGGCCTCATGGCATCGTTCCTCTCCAGTGGTCCTTAACATCATGAGGGCTCCCAGATGCTGTTTCATTTGCTATTATCTCATTTCTGATCTTGGCTTTCCATTTCCAGGACTTCATGACTCAATACTTCACTTCTCCTGGCCCTCTAGTTTGTCCAAGATGGCAAGGAGTGTTTGGGAGGTGATCAAATTTAATGCACATTTAATTCACTCCATGAGGCCTCTGGACATGCACCCAAAGCTATTCTCAACCTTTACACTTTCAACCTATTAAACTGAGGTTGAGTTGTGTGTGTGTGTGTATGTGTGTTTAGTTTTCTTATGTTATCTTTATCAAACTATCTGATTTATTCTCAATTTTCCATTTTATTTCTCATATAAAGTAGACTTCTAATACCATAAGCATTGAAGAAACAAGCATACTTTTATTCTGTATTGAATCTACAAATGTGTGTGTGTGGGGGGGGGGGTACTGGAAGTCGATTTTATGTGAGAAATAAAATGGAAAGTTGAGAATCAATCAGTTACTTTGATAAAGATACCATAAGAAAACTAAACTTTTGGCTCTTTGCCCACACCTTAATTCTGATTGTTTCAATGCAACTTGGGGTTAGACCTTTTGATATATTAGTTTATGTCATTATGTAACCTCTATTACCTTCAAAATTTGTTCTCAAAAGAGAAATATCTAATCATAAAACTAAAATCTCTTTCCCTGTTGGTAAACAATGATAAACACAAAGCACGATATGGTTAAGTGTCTGTCTGCTCGACACTGGGAATCAAGTGACCCCTCCCCATACACACAAAGACTGGGGCTACAATTAAGCCTTCTTCACTACAAATGAATTTATAGCTAAACCGTCTGCTCTTTCCACTTCCAATGGTTTTTTTTTTTTACCTTAATTTCCAGGCAGCACTTTTGCTGAGGGGTTTTCAAATAAGAATCTAAAGCATCCGTCTTTACCTGACTCTCCTATTCTTTCTGAGGCCCGGGAAGGTGACACACTGGCAGCCATATTCACAGCTAAGACCCTAAAGGCTTACCCTGCGTGTGGCCCTGAGCCAGAGATGGGCACGTTGACTTGGGGAGGCTGCAACACGTTCTCACTCCTCTTGGCTGACTTTGAAGTTAGGTGAGGAGCCAACCACTGCTCCGAAACATGCAGCTTTTCTTAGTAGATAGCCATCTCTTCATGGATGATTCAAATCTCACAATTACACCTACGAAAGAGACAGTAGATTGAAGTGACCTAGGCAAAGGGACTTTTTAGGGACTGGTCACTTAAGGCTGCAAGTTTTTCAGTATTCTGACTGCATTACCTGTTGATTCTTTTTAGTAATCTAGGGATAGAAATTTAGCATTCTATAAGACAGGTGTCTTTAAAAGCAGCAAAACTGATTACAAAATTAGCATGAAAGCCATTCTATTTTTGAGGAAAATAAATCAAAAGAAGTATAACTACAAAACAACCATAATTTACCATATGTTAAATAAAGCATTTGCAGGATGGGTACTCATAATTTCTGCTAAGGACATCCAGTTCTTTTGGGGTACCTGCGCACTCTACTTCCAGTGTGCATATTTTGAATATTGGACATTTAATTACATATTTGACACTATACACATTTGCATAAATATTGTGTAACTAACGTGTATCTAGTTTTTACCAAGCAACAAAAAGTTTGATGTCAAGTTTTGCCATGGTATGTACATAATATAAATTGTTAAAAACTTAGGAATGTGTGTGTGACCTATGTACCCCAAGGTTCAATTTTAAGAACACAAAAATTAACTTAATGGAATCAACTAGCCTATGTACAATTTTTTTGTATTATTTTATATCTTTTTCTTGCTTAAAAGAGAAAATTTGCAGCTTATGGGTGCCCTAACTTGTGACTCAGTCAAATATAATGCATTTTATAAGCATGCATCCAATTATAAACATCATCTGTGTTGTGGCAGATGCCATTAGGAGCAAAGATAATATTAGCCTTTTAAAGAGCAATTTAATTGAATGGAATTTGTTCTTCAATTAGATGAAATATTCTCTTCTGCTACCAGTAGAAATAGAACTTCATATCTTCAAAAATCCTTTCCTGAGTATACGCCTTACATTCATAGAAGCAAATAGAGTTTCAGTCTCACTACATAATCCTTCATCTCTGTCTCGGTCTCTAAAGGAAAGAGACATCTAGGCCTTACCATTTTGTGCTCCTGATAGAGCCCATCCTACATGGGGTTCTGTGGAACTGATTTTCCATATTGCAGGTGGCCGCAGCCTTTGGGGCAGTGCCTGGGCTGTGGTTACTACAATGGGCAAGGTGTGTAAACAGCCTCCTCTAGTACATTCCTGTACAGATAAACGGTACTGGTTGAATGGAGCTAGAGTCCAGTGGTAGCTGGGGTTTCCTGACCTTCGTAAGAGACACAGGGTTCGACACTGTCCATGGGTGTGCGTGATAAACCATCCTCCTCTATAGGACCAGAGTCAGAGCCAACAGAAATGGTATGCGTCAAGTTCAAGTGTTCTTCTGAGACCTCCAGCTCTGCAGTATAAATGACAGTGATGCTCCTTGTTGAACCAAGAACACTAGAGGCCTCTACATAATATGAATATGATGTGAGTGATGACAGACTGCGACCAAGCACTGAGTATCAGAAATAGAAAGGAAAACCAGACAGTCAGAATTCACAGCTGCCAAGGAATCCTTTCCAATGGCCTCTTTCTCATGCTGTTTAACTGTGTGGTATACTGATCAACTCATTCCAGTAAGGGTGTGCTGAATAAGTTTACAAGGGAGACCAGGCAAATTGTGGCTGCTTGTATTGTCCAGTATGTTGTGAGAAAAGTGTCAAATGGAGCAGAGAACACTTAGAAATCTACTTCTGCCCTTGGTATGCTCTTCACAGGGTCCCCCGACAGAAGTACCCATAGGAAGTCCTTGCAATCACTGAAGCACATATTTGCTATCAGTACACATATTGGTTTGTTTGCCAAATGCTGATCCATGAGTCCAATCTCTGCAACTACCACCAAGCACCTGCTCTTTCTCCTGCCTAATACCTTGACTGGACCCTTCCTGACCTGTTAAAATGACATACAACCATACACACATTTTGCTAAGTCTTAGAAATATTTGTCAACTACAGAGAGGCTGTACAAGAGAAGTTTGAGATGAGCAGAATCTCCATGCATGAAGGGCAGAGGGGTCAGAGAAGAGAAGGTAGAAAGCAGAGATTGAGAAAAAAGGCATTAGGTAGTGGCCATGATAAGCTGTGTGCCTGGATCCCCACTCTCTACAGAGACAGCAATCATATTGCAGACCTAGGAAACAAAGAAATGTCAGAGTGGCTCTTGACTGCTACATTGTCTGACTGTGTGGGGGTCCGTGGAGGTTTCTGTTACAGAAACACTGATGGTTTCTGCATATCTGGATGCCCAAGGAATAGATATCTGGAGTCTAATTTTAATCCACAAAATTTCTTGACTTTCTGAATGGAAAGGACACTGTACTGAGAGCCGGCATTCATGGGACCTCTTTTGGTTAGAGCAAGGTGGCTTTTGGTGTGGGAAGTCCTTATGTCTGTGTGTTGTTTTTATTGGTTAAAGAGGTAGTTGCTTTAGGCCAATGGCTTAACAGAGTAAAGGCAGGCTGAGAGAGATATAGAGAGACAGTAGGCAGAGTCAGAGAGACACCATGGAGCTGCCAGAAGGGAAAGATGTGAGCTGCCAGCTGGAACCTTGCTGGTATGCAACAAGCCATATGGTAAAATATAAAATAACAAAAATGGAATAATTCTAGATGTAAGAGCTAGTTAGCAATACACTTAAGCTATTAGCCAAACAGTATTGCAAATAACAGTTCCTGGGTGATTATTTTGAGTCTAAGCAGCCAGCAATGTGCAAGCGGACTCCAACAACAGACTTTAAGCAAGGGCCAGATGTTAGATGCAGGATGGAAAAGCTTGGAATATGGTGGAGTGTTCACAAGAACCTGTAGAAAAAAGCAGCTTCCCCTAAGTCAGTGTCATGGGGATGCCAAGGAAGAAACTGGTCCACTGCACTTCAACAAGACAGTATCCTCAGGAGGAACTTCTGCTAATGGCCAGAGAGAAGTTATACTTCCCAAATGCCACTCAACATGGCAATTGAGGGATGACAGAGAGAAGCAGGCTTAACAATATAAGTATGGACCTGAGCGGAGGTGCTTTTGTTAGTCTGTGCACACATCACTGCAATTTTATCATGGAAATGCCTATCACATGAATATCCCATGTGCTCTGCTGATCAAGTAGTATCCTCCACAGAAGTAAAGAATGAGACAGACAGAGAAACGACATCACCCCTATTCAGATGAGGCCTCTAGGGCCGAGACCCCGACTTCCTTGGTAAGGTGCTGCCATAGCCCCTGAATGGACGAAGCTGAGAAGTCTCTGTGTCGACAAAACTTCCCGAGGACCTGCTTCTTGTGGTACCCAAGGAGGAGACTCACCCCAGGGCTCATAGGGAGACCAACCCTGTATCAAGTACTTGCCATATCATTGTAGTTTCAAGATACAAATACGTGATCTGATCTCCAAGGCTGAGAATGTGTAAGAGCACTGTTGTTCAGTAAGAAAGAACCACCGTGCAGTTTGCTATGGTAAGACTTATTTAAGGACCCCCAACTTACCCCGGAAATTATCCCGCAGGAGAAATGGTTTACAGGGAGAGCAAATTGAGAACAAAGACTTTGTCATGAGGTCACAGCTCCCTACTGACTTCTCTGTTTTCTTCTCTGAGTCCCTGAAGAGGATGGACATGTTCCCCCATTTGACTTTTTTTATCAGCATGTGTTAATGGGTTTTCTTGTGATACTTTCATCCATAGATATACTCCACTTTGATGACGCTCCTCTCTTATGTCCACACCTCCTCATTCTAGCCCCATTTTTTTCTTCTCCATTGCACTCTACTCCTATCTCAATATCTTTTACAAAATGCCTGCATCCAGCATCTGAGAGAAATGGGTGTAATGATTGTGTATCTAATCAGGCTTATTCCACTCACTCTGATGATTTCCATCTATCTTCCTCTAGATTGTGAAGAAAAAATTTATTCCTCCTGATTGATAAATAATATTTCACAATGAAAAAAGCATTAATTTTCCTTAACTGTGTTTTGTTCAATGGTTATCTATGGTGATTCCATATCATGGTCACTATGAATAATGCAGCAACGATCACTGATACACCTGGATCAGTAGTAGGATTATAACTGTTAATTCCTCTTCATTTTTATTTATGTGTATTTGTATATGTATGTGCATGTGTCTAAGTAGGTGCACATGAACGTAGTTGCTTGTGGAAGTCCAAGGGTGTCAGATGCACTGGAGCAGGAGTTGTAGGTGGCTGTGATCTATCAGCACAGGTCCTGGGAACCAAATGCAGGTCGTCTGCAAATGTATTCCATGCTCTCAAGCACTGAACTCCCTCTCTAATCCCACAGTTAGGTTTATTTTTATTTTGTTCTGCTGTGGCTCAAACCTAGGACCCTAGCATATTTGGCAAACATGCTATCACTGAGCTTCATGCTCAATCTCTTACCCAGTTCCTAGAGTTGAATATGTATTTCATCAGGAAGAAGGATGGCTTTCAGTTTTAGATTCCATCTCTAGTATGTCTGCTATTCTCTTGTTTCCAAAATCAATATATAACATTATATATATATATATATGTAATTTATTTGGAAGACAAAACTATGAATATATGTGTGTATATCCAAAACTTACCGAGAGCATCTTAAATATGAAACACTAAATAAAGGGTGTTGTTCACCTCTGATAACTGTTCTTCACACTGATGATGTAGGGGAGCTTTGGAAAGGTGGGAGGGGGAGTCTCTGCAAAGCGCCGAGTAGGTAGAAGTCTGAAATGCTAACTTGAAGACTAGGGAGATAGCTCAGTGGTTAAATTCTTGTTGACCAAGCATGAGGACTAGAATTCAGATCCCCAGTACTCGTATAAATGCCAGGGTGTGGCAGCTTTCCTGTAATGCTAGCTTCTTAAGGCTGAGCCAACTATTCCAGAGTAAGCTGGGTAGTGATGGACATATTGGTAAGTTCTAGGTTTGCCTGAGAGACCAAGTGAGTTTATACTAGGCCTTGATATACTAATGTACACGCACATACATCCATACATACCCATAAAATATGTATTTAAGCATATGCACACATCATAAAATGCCACACACTCTCTCCCCTCTTTCTCAAAAAATGGAAACCTAAATAAATAAAAAATAAAATCAAAAACCAAAGGGCTAACGCAACCACATGCTCTTCTACTCCTCACAGCATGTGAGATGTCTGTCAGTTACATGTTATTTAGGAGAACACTGAATATGCTATAGTGCAGTTACTGCCTTTGTGCAGAAACTTTCAAATTATCCCACATAAGTGTGTCTAATGGTTGGTTTTAATGTTAACTAACACAGTGTGTTATTACCGAAGAAAAGTCATTCCAAAGCTTTAAAGATGTTAATATAGAGATGTATGATGATGGTAAGAAAACGCTCTCCAAGAATCCCTCAGGATTCCAGGCTAGCTAGGGGAAGTTTCTGTACTAATGAGGACTTCTATAATAGTCTCGACTCCATGATCAAACTTGCTTGGAAGACAACACTATTAATTTTCTTTGAAAAGTTCAGTGATTCTCTGCCTACAATTCCAACTGCCTTCATTTAACCCGCAGATTTGTGTTCATTCGGCTGAATAGAAACAGTGTTTCCTTTCCATGTTATTCATGCTACCCAGGCACTGAAGCTGGAGCCATAAACACTGGGTATTATTAGAAGACTGGGAAGTTCTGACCACGCTCACCCATTGTTGCCACTGTTTAAATGCCGTCATGCAGATAACTTTCACATCATTAATTACGATGGTTGTCGACAAATGCCAGATATGGCATTTTTAATGAAAAATGATGTTTCAGGAAATAATACCTTATTTGATAGGATTACAGATGTCTGATTAGCGAATGAGTGAATGAATATTTATTACCCACGAAACCATTGTTTGGATTCTATGTTAGTACAATTGTACAGAAAGCCCTGGTGCTGTACTCCTCTGTATCATTTTATCAAGTAGGACCACAATATGCTACTGTGAGAAACATGGGTTGAGTGGATCACTGATGGGTTCAAATTAAATTCAAGGCTGCTTGGAAAATGGAGCCAGTCTGGTTGCATCTTCAGAGATAATTCAACCAGTAGTCCTGTCAGCTCAGAAACCATTTGCAATATTTTTATAACTCTCTCCTTCCTCTGTCACGAAAGTTTAAGTTTCAGAACACCTGGATCCCACTGACTTTTGGAAGAAAATAGACATTTTAGTAGCAGGTTTTCGGATGCTTTGCCAACATGGCAGATGTGGACAGATGTTTGCTTCCCATCCCAACCTGCATCGCGAAGTTCAGAATTTCCATTAACTTCACAGAAGACTAGAAACAGGGAAGGGATATTTAGCATGAAGAGAAAGTAAAGGACACAATAAAAAGTAGATGCAAGGCAGACACGATTAGATCACATTTGGAATTCAATCTGCTGATATAATAGATAAGAAGTATCTGTCGTCTATTCAGGAGCTTGAGGTCAGCCGGTGCATTAAACCTGGCTGTCTTCCATCCCTGTTAAAACAGGTTATGGAATGTCACTCTTTTAAGTTCAATTTACACGCGTTTTAAAGCTTGTTATTCATGTTCCATAAGTTTGGAGGGCATGCGAGATGATTCTGCAGGGAAAAGTGCTTGTTGAGCAAGGCTAACAACTGTGGGAAGAGAGAGTTGACTCTCCAAAAGTTGTGCACCAACCTCTGCATATATGCTACGGTATGCACGCATACACAATATAATAAAAAATACAACATTTTAAAGAAAAGGAGGGATAAAGAGAATGAAAGGTAGCTTCAGTGGATTCCACCTTCTAAGATATCCTAAGGTGGTTTTCTAAAAGAATTTGTAGTTAAACAGGACTAGAAGCAGAGATATAAGTCCATAAACAAGCAAGAAACCCCTTCAGTGTATCTTTAAGGATGACATATTTAAGTCATCTGAGTACTTTAAAAAAAAAAAAGATGGTAGTTTCCCACAAGTTTGGCATCAACAAGCTCATTTATTAACAATTTACTGGACCCAAACCAGACTTCTATCTTGTGTTCCTATCCTCTGTCTTTCAATTTAAGCCTGTGATGCTATGCCACACCTGTGTGAACAAGGCAGCATCTATATGAAGTTATATGATATGAATCGCTATTAGTAAGTATCATGATTCAGATTTCAGAATCTACACTACCTCTGAATTCAAATACACAATCATACATACGTACACACAGTCATATATGCTTATAATTCCAGCCCTTAAATGCTAGCCTAGGTCTCAAGAGACCCTGTCTTTTAGAACCTTGGAAAGACTAGAATTGAAACTCTTGACAACATTCTGCAATATTTAAATACAGAGAAAACTGTAGTCCACTTGATGTCACACTCTCAGCCTTTGAAAACTAAAACTATAACAATCCATATGCAAGTTCTTTCTAGCATTTTTATATTACAAACCATATAGGAATGGACATGGAATTTTTCTGTTCATTTATAGATGTTTTTGTGATAAAATTTCTATGGTATGATAGTTCAATAATACATGATATGAAGGAAAGACATTTCATATATTTTAACAATTTACTATGTGCAAAAGGCTATTCCTGTTACCAGGACAAACATCCTTAAGTCCATTAGTGTTCCAGTTTTGATATACCAATCATGATGGATGGAGTCACTGCTTTCCTCTCGGGAAATTCAATAATCATCTTACCAAACACTATACATCTTATTTTCATTGTGGTTTTTTATTCCTAGTGAGATTTATAATTCTCTCTGCATGAGATGCTCTTTGCTCATGGAGGGGACTATGACATTTTTCTTCAGCGTCAGAGAGTTTAACTTATATCAATTCTTAGAATACCACATCTTTCCATTACCAAATCCTAGAACTCATGGTATGGAAGTTGATCTTTGGTTGTATAGATTTCAGAACAATCCCTGAGCAGAGTGTAAGCCAGCTGGTGGGCAGTGGGAAAAACAGGTGGACTCCAGGAGATTGATAGAGTACGAACTTTGAACCAGTGCTCTGGGTGGAGGTAGCTGGGACGGAGCTAAATTGCAATGGAGAGAGCATATATTAGCAAAAGCAATCGATAAACACACTAGGAAACTGAAGTAAGGTACCCAGCAAAGAAGTCCTTCTGACTCAGGGTCAGTTTATCAAGAAGTCATGTGGTTTACCAAGACATTAATAAACAAAATGTATGAATCACCATTTCTCTAAGACAAAGCTTTTTATCTACAAGCATAAGACATGTGTGTAGATCAGAGCAGCTGACATAAACAGGGTTGGGGGGAAACTACGGGGTAGTCAAGCATTTTCTTCACCGTAGTTTTTAAAAAAATATCTTAAAGACATATAACACTTATTTTTTCTACTGAATTTAAAAATTGACACGAATTCCCTTGAAACTTGATATGTAAAGGGTACACCTCTTGGATGCTGAAGAGTGTTTCATTCCACTACGTAAGCAGTGGTTACTTAAGCACTAAGTACAAGGTCTTATTTTACTTTAAAGGACATAATTAAGTTCAAGAACTGTTTGCTGACATAAATACATATGAGTGCCAACAATCTAAATATTGTGGTGAGTTCAAGGCCAGCCTTGCTTACAAATCAAGTTCCAGGACAGCCAGAGCTATTTCAGAGACCTTGTCTCAAAAAAAAAAAAAAAAAAAAAAAAACCTCTAAAAATTGTTAATTAAAATGTGAATTCACATGTGACTGGAAGAGCACTCTGAAGTTTAGATTGCTTGTCTTGCAGATGGGGGCACTCTTCCGATTGTAGGAAAATCTAAAACTTGACTCTGGAAACTCTAATCTTTTGATACCACAAATATTCTTGACTTCTAGAGGAATCTTCCCAACTTTTGAGTGTGAGCTTTGTTATTTCCCCAGAATACACAGAAAAGATAGAGAGAAAAAGAAATCTAAGAAAATACCATCCAAGGTTCAAGCTAAACCCAGTTTGAGAGAGGTGACCTAGTAAGCTTTCCACTGAATGAGATGTCACACGTCCACACAGTTATGTGACTGGCTTTTAAATCCACAATCCTTCCACCAAGAGACATTTTTATAAAAACATGCAAAGAACTGAAACTATTAAAATAGATACAAATAGGTACAGATATTTTATGCAAAATGTCTGAAGCCATTTGGTGAATCTTTCAGGTCTCAAGATAAAAGACTTAATTGCATTTAAAATATATGTAACCCAGAGAGACTGATGAAAGAACTTGAAAGAACTTTACTTCAAAAAGGTGTAGCAGCCCAGGGTATAGTAACAGTAAAACTCTTGCAGTTAACAGTATATTGGTCTCATGATGTAGAAGGGTCATCTGTCTATGTGTTACTTTCATTGGTTAATAAAGAAACTGCCTTGGCTTTTTGATAGGCCAGCCCGTAGGTGGGTGGAGTAGACAGAACAGAATTCTGGGAGGAAGAAAGCAGAGTCAGGCAGACGCTATGAAGCTCTGGCCCGAGATGGACGTAGGTTAGAATCTTCCCCTTAAGCCACCACCTCGTGGTATTACACGAATTATTAGAAATGGGTTAATCAAGATGTGAGAGTTAGCCAAGAAGAGGCTAGAGCTAATGGGCCAGACAGTGTTTAAATGAATACAATTTGTGTGTTGTTATTTCAGGTATAAAGCTTGCCATGCGGAAGCCAGGCAGGACGAAAAACAGGCCTGCTCACCTCATCATGATAGTCTCATATCTCTTCTGTTCACAGAATTACTAAATGTACTGTTTTCAGACAGTTATGAATAAAACATTCTCTTGGGTTTGTTTTTAGGTTAATATTCTTAAATGCAAGTGAGCTAGGAATGGCTAAAACATGAACATATGCACTAGAGTGTATATAGTTTTGTTGAAGTTCATACATAGACGTTTAGAACAAGCTACGATTCACTAGGAAGGAATATAAAAACAAACAGTTAATCCCCAATTTCCTTCTGTCTCTCTGAGTTAGGGAGGTGACCAGTTCTTGGAAAGGATGAAATTAAGTGATGGGAAATAGGTGGTTTGGTCAGCAGAGAAGCAAGAAATCAGAGCAGGCATCAGTACTTTCATTCTGTGCTACCCTCTGCTATTTGAAAGTTATATCCCAGGGTCCCACTGGGAACTTGCTGTTCCTCTCCCGGCTACCCACAGATGATATTGGAAAGCTATCATCAGTACATTTCCAGGAAAGAGGAAATAAAATCATGGAGATAATCCCGTGGAGGGACACCACCAGCCACTTTGGGAATCCAGGAAAACCTTTTCAACACCTGTTGTACACAGACAAACAACAGCCAGAAGCAGTTCACAGTTTCAGTAACAGAGAGCATACCAATGTCCGTCACTCCACATTCTGTGAACTTTGTTGTTCTGAACGGCTGCTAGTAATATAGAAAACAAGTTGTAAATCCCGTTATTGCCTACTCTCTCCCTCTTCCTGTCTTCCCTCTTTCTTTCTCCTTCTCTCTCCATCACCACCTTCCTCAAATGTAGACAGTGGGCTTCCAGATACGCTGTTTTCCAGAGTGGGTGACTAGCTATGACATCAGGATGTAGTGACTGACTTTCCTGTTATGCTGGCTCATGACAGAGCAAGTTCCACGAGGAGAATATGCACAGTGTTGAAATACGGAGCGGCGGGCTGTGTCCTGTGCCACGCGGGAACTTCGGTTCTGTAAGTTTATCATTAAAGTGTGAATATTGTTTAGTATCTGCATTGCATTTATTTACGCTGATACAGCACAGTGCAGTCTGCTGCAGAGGGCACTTTATCACATGTCCAGGAGCCTTCTGTTAGGAATTCTGGGAAAGTGTGGACACACAGTTTTAGAGTAAACACAGGAACCCCATCCATAGCTATAAATCGAAGGACTTCAGGTGACCTTCAGCAGTCAACTCTGGGCATTATAGAGTGGTACAAAGTCAGAAAAAAACTAAGATGCCATATTAGGGTAAATTAATTAAAATTATAAATGTGAGATGCAGACTCATGGCTAATATATGTAAAGTAGAAAGCAGTGAGAACAGAATATCAATTACAGTATAGTGTGAAAATAATAACTATAAAATTAGAATATTAATAAACAACATTAGAATAGTGTTCATAAAACTTGAAGCATAGTACATGAAACTTGTAATAAATAACAAATCTTCTATTTGTTATAGTAAATTACACAGAAATACATTTGTGAGCTAGGGAGATAAACTGTTTTTCTTTAAATATCAACATCATGATTTTAACAGTAAATGTCCATGTTCTGGAAAAAAATCTCATCAGGGGAAAACTGGAAATTGTTTCCTTTGCAGGTGATTTTATTCCACCAGACAGTTGTCCGTGTTTTACTACCAGTCTCGGCATTCCGGAAATTTCAATTAGCTAACCAAGGAAAGACATACAGATTTCTTTTAGTGTGATTTTCTTTAGTTTAATTTTCCAGACTGTGCCTAAGACTTCTTAAATGAGTTTTAAATGGAAGAAAGCATCGAGACCCTCCTCCCAGGTCCTAGTGTTTCACGAGCCAGCATTGGGCTAGAATGGACTTACTTTTGCTGCAGCCCAGTAGACGGTTGGCACCCAAGTGGCTTGCACCAGGAACTCGAGTATCACACTTCGGGCCTGCAACACGCTGGTTGCAGAAACATTGGCCTGTGACCACATCACAAGTTTTGTTCAAGGCTCCTGCCCGGTGACAATGACAAGGCTGGCCCCTGAAAACAAGACAAATAAATCACCAAGAGTGCTCTAATTAATTATTCAGAGTGTCTGTCATACCTATCAGTGACAGTGTGGTTGAATACAGCTTGCTTTTGCCAACGACCTGAAAGGATGCTTGAACTGCACAAACACAAACTAGAGCAAGAGAGAACAGAGCTTCATCAAAATGCTGCTGGTGCCTAAGTCCGTGCGAAGAGTCCTTTCAGTTAATGGATTCCAGGGAGGTGGCTCGGTTGGTAAAGCACTTGCTGAGCAAGCATGGGAGTGAGCCTGAGCTGGGACCATCAGTATCCATGTGAAGACCAGCTGTGCAGCGAGTGCCTGCTACTCAACATTCAGCGATAGAGACAGAAAGGTCCTGGAGCTTGCAGCCCAGGCAGTCTAGAAGAATCAGTGAACCCAGAGACTGATCTCAGGAAGTAAGGTAGAGAGTAACCTTGGAAGGTGTCAACAATACACAAACACAAGCAGACAGTCAGACATACACACACACACACACACACACACACACACACACACACACATTACGCTCTAACCATACATGGTGGTACAGTAGTCTCAGAATGTGGGAGTCAGAGGGAGGACAATCAGGAGTTCCCAGTTGCAGGGTAAGTTTATTACCAGCCTGGCCTACATTGAGGCTTTGTCTCAGTAACTCCCAGAAAAGCTTTTACATGCCATGGTGCATTGCCACAATTATTCTCAATACCAACCGTGTAATAAAATGAAAAATGTGTTTGCTTACAATAGAAGTTCTATCATCAGCTAAATGGTTAAAGTAGGTACTTCAAATTTATTTTTATTTAAATATCCAGTTACAACATATATATGAAAAATAAGTCACTGCTCTCCCTAAAATTGTTCAAACTCTATATTTCATTCTATAAAGACTAAATTTTGTTGACAATCAGGCAGATTATAATTTTTGTTGACGCTTAATATGACTTATATTTGAATTTTTTTCACTGTATTAGCTTCATTTTTTTTGTTTGTTTCTGAGATAAAGCATTCTGACAATGGCTACTTAAAAAAGGAAGGGGTTGAATCTGGCCTGCAGTTGGAGGGGACACTCCGTCATGGATGGGAAGTCAGGGTGGAGGAGCAAGAAGCAGGAGATCATACCACAGTCACTTCCAGAAAGCTGATGCTCTCTGCTGCCTGCCTCCTTTTCTCCACTGTGCATTAAGGTCCCACATAGGAAATGGTGTCCCCCTCAGTGGGCAGGTTTTCCCAACTTGGTCAAGTACATGATCACCTTAGGCACCCCTCCCAGGAGGCTCCAGATTTTGTCAGTATAGCAATTAGCAGTCACTGGCTCTCATCAAGAGAAGACTGGAGACAATACAGCTACCCTGATCTCTACCAAGGTAGCAATGCTACAGGATAATGAGCATTACCACCACAAGATACAAGCTCCATAAGCTCTTAGACCGAAAGTCATCTGTAATATTAGCAATACCAACTTGCAGTGGAAGAGAGGGAAATCTTTATCCTCGGGGTAAATTATTCTCATGCATATTCTCCTCAGGGCATTTCATTAGACTAAGCAGTCTGGGCACTATAAACATTAGAAAAAAAATTTTAATGCCCACTGAGAATATTTAAGCAGGGACTTTACATGCAGATCGAAAACAACACTAAATAGAGTTCTCTATTTAAACTATAGATAAACTGATGGGCATCGTGACTTCACCCTACTGCAAATTTTACGGTGTGATCTCTTGGTTAATCATTCAACACCCTTAAAGAGGCCGATAAAAGCTAAAGCTGCAAAATAAGTTGAAAATTTGTGTGATGGACGAATCTGCCATTGGGAATAAAAAAAAATCAGGGTTTCTCCTGAAAGCGACAGTAGCATAGTTGCCCTTTTTATGGTCTTGATAAAAGAACTCCCCCTACAAACAATCCTGATGGTCTTTAGGTGGACACACTGCACTAGAACTTCATCCCCAGCAGATGGTTTCTTTTTCAGACAAAATATTAGAGATGAGGAAAATTATGCATTAGAATTAAAATAGAATTAAGAAGCAATGAAATGGCTTATTTATTCTTAATTTCATTATGTACTATCATTTACAGTATATTGTTTGTAGGCTTTTAACATAACACTAGTAAGACTGAGCAGTAAGAGGCAGTCCTTTCTCTCTCTCTCCTCTCTCTCTCTCTTCTCTAACTTCCTCCCCCCCCCTCTATGTACACACACACACACACACACACACACACCACTCTTGAGTAAGTGCCTCTTGAGCATTTCAGCTCTTATTGTCATTCACTCATGAGTCAACCACACTTACTTTACACACAGCGCATTTAGAGTAATGGCTTGCAGGGCGGGACCTAATTCCATCCCTTGCTGAGGCTCTATTTTCTTGCAGCCGGCTGCTATCCACACAGCTCCAAGTCAGCTATGTCAATATCCGTGGGATATTAAGTTCTGAATCCAAATGGAACAAATAAATCACTTCTTAGGAAAGCAAGCAATGTTTTGAGTAATTAAATGCGTCTATTTCTGGTTTTATTGTCTCTTCTCCCAGCCGCTGTTGTATCAAACATATCCGACTTATTATAATTGCTTAGTTTCAGTTAGAGAGAATTTTTCCTTAAGTGAAGTTCATCAGAGCGGATTTTCTAGAATATTACAGTTTGCAACCAGTCCAAGGGACACAGGGGATAATACTGTAATTAAGGCTTAAATGAAATGATTCCTATAAATTTCTCAGCCACTCAAATACAATTTTAAACATTTGAAGACTCCTTAGCACGTTAGCCACAAGTTCGAGAGTGGTTTTTTCAGATGCCCCTCCTTAGAGTACCAGCCAAATGAAATATAATTCACATTTATTAAAACAAAATTAGACACAATGAAGGAGAAGACCTCTCAGGCTTAGAAGAGAGGCAACAAACTAAGATGAATTGTGATATTGATTTTGCCAGGATAAATGGTTTTCGTAATATTAATATAAAGAAACCTTTATTGCTCAAACTCTCCTGGCACAGCCCGAGCTGGTCCCGCAATCTGTTTAAAATCTTCATTTTTCATCCTTATGGGAAAAACCTCAGTTGCTAAATGGATTTCATAGAGAGTAATCTGTCAAGATTTATATAGATAAACAATTTGTGATGTTTATTGACCAGTTCATTATGATAAACCCAACAGGAGGGAGACTCTGCTCATCCTGGCCAGCTTACTGCTGCTGCTCCCCCACTCTGCAAATCAGTATTTGCCAGGTACACTGAGGGGCTAATTGGCTTCTGTCTCTTAAATGACAAATCTCCCATCCTGGGCTTTCCTGGGAGTTCCTTTCAGTTATTCAAACAGTGCAAAAGTCACCCTAATTATTATTACAGAAGAAACCTAACTCATAATGAAGACAGTGTGCTTCTGCAGTCATGATACTGCTGGGAAGTTCATCTGCTGGGATGCAGGGGACAGGCCACCCCTTCTTCTGGGACCCCAGCTCATGTGTACATGAAAGGGACTTAAATAAAGGCTGACATAAGTGTCGCTCACTGGGCCCAGTTCAGGTCCTGGTTGGGAATCCAGGAGACGAGTGTTATGCTCCTGTCCTCGAGAAACACACGGACGACTGTGAAGGACAAAAGCCCAGTGAAAGCTGCCAGTAACAACGCATGCAGAGTTTCTGGTGCCACGCAGGATGAACAACTACCCTTGGCAGTGCCTGGGGAGAGAAGCAGCTGACCACCACCATGCTGAAAATGCAAAGACTGAAATGATACAAAATGTTATACTTTCCGTGCTGACAGAATGCCTCCGGGGAAAAACCCCACATCTCATATAACAGGTCACCGTCTGAATACAGGTACATTTGATATCTGTAGACTATGTAGTGTGTGTGTGTGTATGTGTGTGTGTGTGTGTGCACGCACATGTGTGTATGAGAGAGAGAGAAGTGGAGACAGAGAAATGGGGTGTGAATGTAAACATTTAAGACAGGGTAAGTCCATATATGTGCATGCGAATTTGGGGGACTCTATCGATTCATGATACCACTCTCTGGTATTTTAATCCTGTGAAACAGAGTTTCCAACTGAAGCAGAAGCTTGTCATTTCCTCTTGGCTGGCTGGCCAGGAAGCTCTTAGGATCTACCTGTCTCTGCCCCCAGTGTTGCAACAATTAGAGCTTTATGCTGCCATTTTCAGCCTTTTCTACAAGTGCAGGGGGATTAGAACCTGGGTCTGGATGCTGGCACAGTGTCATTGTTGGCTTCACTGGGGTTTTGTTGTTGTTGTTGGTTTTGGACCACTTGACACAAGCTTCTATCATTTGGGAAGAAGAAACATAATTGAGAACATCTCTTATCCGAAGTTGCTTTTGGTTGTGGTGTTTCTTGTAGCAAAAGAAAACTAAGTTGAATACCGAGCAATCCTCTCACCCACTGAGCTATCTCCCAGCCTTGCAACCAGAATGTTTGGAAAGTGAACCAGCATGGGCAGTAGTGATCCACTAAGCTGGGAAGGTAAGGAGAAGACAAGGCAGAGGCAGGAGAAGACATGGCAGAGGCAGGGTATTGGTAAATGAGTAAGTGAGGGGGTTAGATTTAATGTTTTGTTTTTTGGTAAATAGGATTAGTGAAATGTGAGTGAAAATTTGAAAAAGAAGGAATGAGGACTCAGGCATTCCTGGGTTTATAATTTTCTAATAGAGAATGGACATTATTTAATACAGAGCAGGGAGGAAGAGAATTTATATCACTGAGGCTTTTTAACAGGGCTACCCAATGAGGAAAAAAAAATCAGACCACAAGGCCAATTTTAAGGAGCTGGGGTAAGACTATTTCATCACCAGGCCCAGCAAAGTCAGGATGCAAGATGCACTGCTGCATGGTCGCACATAGGGTTCAATACACACTACTGTGTGGTCACACATAGTCAGGGTTCAATACACACCAGTGCATGGCCATACACAGTCAGGGTTCAATACACATGCTGCGTGGTCACACACAGTCAGGGTTCAATACACACCGGTGCGTG